GTTCTGAAGATTGATGGAGAAGCCATGTGGATCATGCTTGGCACAGTGTCTGTTGTGTGATAATAATAGGAACCATCAAAGCTGTCGCTGAGAGGGCTGGAAGGGGCAGGATTCTACTCTTAGATTCGTTTCGGTCCTGAGGGCTCATTTTAGTGCAGATCATTTCTGATCCCTTAGGGCAGGGTCCTCTCTATCTCAGCTTTATGAGCCCACGATATTAACCTTGCCTGCAGGCTGGGCTTTGGAAAATAGACACCCACTATGCTCACTGAGAATAACAATACAAGCAATATAACTCCCCAAACCCAAACGTACTGCCAGCGTGTCATTCCCAGCTCACAGGGACCTAGAGGGCCAAGCAGAACTGCTCCAATGGGTTTCCGAGATTGTAACTGTGAATGGGAGTAGAAAGCCTCATCTTCCTCCGGAGGAATAACTACTGGTGACCGCCGACCTTGTGGATCACAGCCCAACCCCTCACCACTATGCTGCTACTAACCATAGCTCCTATTTCATGAGCAATTACCAGGTACTTTGCTAAGCATTTTACAAGGTGGTTAAGCCCACAGGCTGATACTGAATCTTAGTTCCTGTCACACTACCTTACCCGCACCACCTTGGACTCCTCTGTGGCCTCAATTTTCCATTCTGTAAAATATAGACAACAGCCCATCCTATGTCCTTAAACTGCTGTTAGGATTCCATATACAATACTGACAAAAGGTTCAGCCTAGTAGCATGCGCATATGCACACTGGGCTGGGGTAGCTATCCCTGTGATTATTGAATAATAATAGCTATATTGTTATTACTGAGTAATAACTAATGAGTGAGCCCTGACCAGACTTTAAGTACTTGTCTAACCAGGTACCTTTACAGCAAATATATCAATGATCCCCAGCCCCCACTCTTAAAAAAAATTTTTTTTTTAATTTTTAGTTTCAGGAAAGAGAAAGGCATTCCTTCCATGGGTTCACTGGGGCAGAAAGTAGCTGGGTCCTGTTGAAAATGAATGGCGAGAAACCCACTTTGCAAGTGAACGTGGCCGCTAATGACACTACAATTAAGACGGAGTGCTTTACAATGGGGTCCTTTCACATACATGGGCTCAGCGAATCCCCACAATCATTCCGGGAAGTAGGCATTGCTATTATTATTATTCCAATTAGATGGGGAGAAGACTGAGCTGCAAACTCCTTAGCATAGCTCTCTGGGAGTGTGGGACCACTCTGCGTTGGGGGTGGGGGTGGTTGGGATTAAGATAAGAGCCCAGGCGGCAGCCCCTGCCACCAACCAACTGTGCTTCCAAGACATTCTTGCCTTAGGAAGCCTGACTTAAATTGTAGGATGGGCTGGTCTGACTGGACACTGCTTGGAGACCTCGGGGTGAACTGGACTTGCTGTGTGGTGACAGGCTGGTTGGGAATTGGGACAGAGGACAGGGCCAGCTGAAGAGGGTGGGGAGGCCGGGAGCCAGAGTTCCATCTTGTGTTTGCCAAGACCTGAGGCAACCAGCTTAAAAAAA